ATGAAGTGTTAGTCACTACTTCAAACTGCCAGTAGCTGATAAGCATTCTTCCCCCTCTTATCCTCAATCAGATGTGATATTGTAGGACTTTAAACTTTTTAATCCATCTAACGGATCTCCATGTTAGTCTTCGTCTGCTTTGCCCTCCTTACTAGTGAGGCTGCAGATGCTTTCATGTATATTTCATGTGTATATAAAAGAATAGTGGGATGTTCTTCTTAATGACTTGTGTAGGTTTCTAGAGGTCCTTTAAATTCTTTTTTTTTTTTTTTAACAGTCAGAGTTAGAGAGAGACAGAGAGCCAGGTGCTTCCTCCTGGTCTCCCATGTGGGTGCAGGGCCCAAGCACTTGGGCCATCCTCCACTGCACTCCCTGGCCACAGCAGAGAGCTGGACTGGAAGAGGAGCAGCCGGGACAGAATCCGGTGCCCCGACTGGGACTAGAACCCCGTGTGCCGGCGCTGCAGGCAGAGGATTAGCCTAGTGAGCCGAGGCGCAGGTGAGGTCCTTTAAATTCTAAACAATGTTTTTGTAATCTGTTTTGATTGGGAGTATCTTCTCCAATTTATGTTTTTTTTTCTCAAAAATATGTCTTTTGATCTATGGAAAATCTTAATTATAAACTATATCAGATTTTTCTTTTAGGGTTTTTACTTATTTATTGTAGAATCCATCCCTACTATAATGTCAAGGAGAAACTCAACTGTTTTTTAATATCAAGTTAAAAAGTTTTGTTTTCAGGTTAAAGTTTAACTGCAGTTTATTTTGATGTATGGAGTAAGGTAAAGATCTCACATTATATTTTTCCTAGGATTACTAGTTGTCCTTCCATCATATATTAAATTGGCTATGATCTTTTCACTGACTCTGTTCTGACTTTTAGTTCTGCTACATGTGAGTGAGCTGCTCCTAACTTCCTTCCCTCCTCCCCCCCGCCCCTTCCTTCTGATTTATTTTCTTTATTTGAGAGAGGTAGATCCAGAGAGAGAGAGGTCTTCCATCTGCTGGTTTACTCCTCAAATGATCGCAATGGCCAGAGCCAGGAGCTTCTTCCAGGTCTCCCATGTAGGTACAGGTGCCCAAGGACTTGGCCATCATCTTCTCCTTTCCCAGGCCATAGCACAGAGCTGGATTGGAAGTGGAACAGCCAGAACTCGAACCAGCACCCATGTGTGATGTTGGCACTACAGGCTGTTTTTTTTTTTTTTTAAGATTTATTTATTTATTTGAAAGGCAGAGTTACACAGAGAGAGGAGAGGCAGAGAGAGAGAGAGAGGTCTTCCATCTGATGGTTCACTCACCAATTGGCCGCAACGGTTGGAGCTGTGCAGATCCGAAACCAGGAGCTTCCTCCGAGTCTCCCATGTGGGTACAGGGGCCCAAAGAATTGGACCATCTTTTAGTGATTTCCCAGGCCATAGCAGAAAGCTGGATTGGAAGTGGAGCAGCCGGGTCTTGAACCGGCGCCCATATTGGATGCTGGCCCTTCAGGCCAGGGCGTTAACCCACTGCGCCATAGCACAGGCCCCTGCTCCTAAGTTCCTCAGATTTTTTAAATTACTGACACTTTATAATGTACAATATTCAGTAAAAAAAACTCATCCTTAAATTTGTTGTCTTTAATTTTTCTTAGCCATTCGTGGCCTTTACTCTTTCAGAAAAATGCTATGATCAGCTTGTTGAGATATATCCTTATTGGCATTCCAACTGGCATTGCACTGGGATTTTAACTTGGGGAGAATTGACATTTTTGCGGTATGGAGTGTTCTCAGCCAGTTAAACATATCTTTCCATGTATTTAAGTCTTCTTTTATGCCTTTTAATCATTTAATTTCTTCATAAAAATTTTAGCTGAATTTAATTGATTTAGTCGAATTCCCAGGATCTTTAAACCTTTTTATTATGGAGAATTGTCTTTTAATAAGCATTTATTAATAAATTATTACTTATCTTTATGAATGACATTGATTTTTGTATATTGCTATTTCTTTAAGAATTATTTATTTATTTGGAGCCATGTGGGGAGCAACTCGGACTAGACTGTTACTGGAATTAAGACTTACTCTATGCATCTGCTCTCCCACAATATGGCGCTGGGAGAGGAGCAAACAGCTTCTACACAGCTGCCTCCAGTTCAACCAATAAGCAGCAGGACCTGCTCCTGATTGGAGGAGAGCAGCGTACTCGGCGTGTGGGTAGCAGAGTTGGGATTGGTGGAAGAGGACTATAAAGGAGGAGAGAGACAACATGCACCAGGAACATCTACCTGAAGGAACACCTGAGCAGCCCCCGAGAGAGCCGGCTGGCGGTGTGCCGCTCCCCTGCGGAAGTGGGGAAAATGGCAGGGGGAACCGCCCTTCCACGGAGGTGGAAGGGTCGGTAGCCAACCCGGGAAGAACCAGCAGCAAACCCGGGGAGGGCCGAGCAGACAAAAGAACAGCGCAGGGTCCTGTGTCGTTCCTCCATGAAGAGGGGGAGCGACAGAGCCAGAGTTATAGAATAAAAGAAAAAGATAAAGCTCTATCACATTTGGTTCAGTCTCCAAATGTCAGGGCTGGGACAAGCTGAAGCCAGGTCTAGCTGGGTCTCCCACATGGGAGGCGGACTAAGTACTTGAGCCCTAATCCATTGGCTCCCAGGATACACACTGGTATGAAAATGGTTTGATGAGAAGCGAGATACACAGCAGACTCATAGAGTGGCAGATGTCCTAAACAGCACTCTGGCCTCAGAATCAGCCCTTAAGGCATGCGGATCCAGCTGAAAAGCCCATGAGAGTATTTCAGGCATGGAAAGCCAAGATACTCTGGCAAAAAAATAAAAAATAAAAAAATAAAATCCTAAATGAAAGATGGAAAGAACAGGTCATCAAAGAAGGAGGTACCTTTCTCTGAAGGGAGGAGAGAACTTCCACTTTGACTATGACCTTGTCTAAATATGATCAGAATCGGTGAACTCAAAAGGCTTCCATAGCCTTGGCAACTCATGACAAGAGCCTAGGGTGATTACTGATGCCATAAACAAGAGTGTCAATTTGTTAAGTCAACAACAGGAGTCACTGTGCACTTACTCTTCATGTAGCATTTCTGTCCTTAATGTGCTGTACATTGTGATTTAATGTTACAACTAGTACTCAAACAGTATTTTTCACTTTGTGTTTCTGTGTGGGTGCAAACTGTTGAAATCTTTACTTAATATATGCTAAACTGATCTTCTGCATATAAAGAGAATTGAAAATGAATTTTGATGTGAATGGAAGGGGAGAGGGAGTGGGTAAGGGGAGGGTTGCGGGTGGGAGGGAAGTTATGGGGGGGCGGGAAGCCATTGTAATCCATAAGCTGTACTTTGGAAATTTATATTCATTAAATAAAAGTTTAAAAAAAATGGTTTGGAAGCAGAGATGGAGCTTGAATCAGACACTACAGATATGGGATGTGGGCATCCTGAGTGGCAGCTTAACCTGCTTTTCCTTGACACCTGCCCTATATATCGATCTTACATCCAAAGAGTTTGCTGAACAATTTTAGTAGTTCAAGCAGTGAAATCTTTCGGACAATTTACACAGAGACTTATATTTTGCATACAACAAAATATAAAAATATTTTGTAAGCTATTTTAATATATATTTTAATATAAAAATATTTTGTTATATAAGAAAATAGCTTATTATCTTACTTTCTAATCTTCATGCTTCATTGATTTTCTTGACATGTTTGGTAGGATCTCCCAACCAAAGCTGTAGCAAGATGTCTCTGATAGGCTTAGAAACTTTTCCTTCCTTCTTAGTTGGCTAATAGTTTTTGTTTCTTGCTCTTTGTTTTTCAGTGAATGAGTGTTGAATTTTACTGAATGTCTCTCCTCTGCAGTTAAGATAATCATGTGTCCTTTTTTCCTCCTGTAAAATATTAAACTGTTAACTGTTCTAATTTTGAATCATCCCTGCAATCCAGAAAAAAAAAAACCCTATTTATCATATTATCTTGAAAAATGTAGAGCTGGATTTGATTTGCAAATGTTATCGAGGATTTTTAAGCATTTGTTTATTTATTTGCAAGGCAGAGACAGAGATCTTTTGTGGGCTGGTTCACTCCACAGATGACTGCAACATCCAGGGTTGGGCCCAGGGGTTTCATCTGGGTCTCCCATGTGGGCGAGGGAGCGGAGCCTTTAGGTCACCCTTCCTCCCTCCCTCCCTTCATCACATAATTTTCTTCCTTTCTTTTCTATTTCCCTGTCTCCTCCCCTGATGTGGTGGGTTTCCTAGGAAACACAGGTCAGGTTAAATTGGATTTACAGGGCCCTATATTTTGGTGAAAGTTTAGAACAGCCATATATGTTTCAATATAAACAGTTCTCCAAAAATAGGATAATACTCCAACATCTTATTTATGGCTAATTTAAAAGTTAGGCCAGATGGTGTGCCATGAACTTTTTCTGATGGGGAGGAAACACAGGGACACATTTAATAAACAGTTGTTAAGGAGCAAGGCTTTCTTTCACCTACCCACTGAATCCTGTCAAGTTCAGCTATGTGAATGTTCATGGGGAGGACAGTTGCTGGCCAGCGATGTAACTGAGTTGGTGGGATCATGACCTATATCTAAATGGAATCAGAGTTTCAAACAGAACCAGACGCATACAAACAAAATAACTTAGAGAACTAAGGTGGTGCTTAACACAGCACCCTAGAACCTAGCTGCACCCTGTCTTTTCCTTTAAACACCAGGACAAAAGTCAAAAGGACCCAGATCCCACTTCCCTGCCCCCTTGGGAACACAGGGTGTCTCATCTGAATTTGAATACAAACCTTTCAGGATGGGAATTTGTTAGAAGAAAAGAAGTCCAAGAAAAAAAGTTTGCAGAGTCAGTATATATGTGGGAGGACATGAGTGTAGCACGTGTGAGCCTGCATGCACATGTGTACAAGGTGTGTCCCTGTGTGTGTGCACGCTGATGAGAGCATTTGCGGGTGTGTTCCTCGTGAGTGTGTGTGTGTGTGTGTGTGTGGACGTGCGCGCGCCTGTGCTGCAAGCGGCAGAGGCTGCTTCAGCTCAGCCAGTAGCAGGCAGAGCAGTGAGTACACAACTCATAATGAGAAAGGAAGCTGGGAAGAGACTAGGAGAGAAGCAATCGCCCTATTAACAAAAGCTCAGTTTTGTCCCTGCGGACCGAAGCCACAGAGGGATGGGGCGAGCTGTGGCTGTCGGCCAGGGAGGTCGGGCTCCCTGCTAGCAGCAGTTGGAGGCATCTTTACCGCTCTGTGCTAGGGGCAGACCTGAGGTTGGACGCCTGGGAAGTTTTCAGAATCGCAGCAGCAGCTTTGGAGAAGACCAGCAAAGAGCACCGTGTGTATGTGAACTTCTATTTTTTGTTGTTGTTGTTGTTGAGTGCATTCATGGATATAGTTTTTTAGTACAAAGAAAACTCAAACTCAGCTGACTTGAAAGACTGGAATTTCAGCTCTCTTCTTCCCCCTGGGTTATTTTTCCTCCCCCTTCCTCTCAAAGCCCTTTAAACCAGATTACCGGGTCAGTGACTCGCTGCCTGCCCACCCACTGCCCACCAGGTCCAGAGGTTTCTGGCTTGCTGGCTCGGAAAGGACAGCCGCCACTTACCAGTAAGTATCTGCTTTATGTGCTTGTGCTCTTCTTGATTGTGGATATTCTGCTAGCACCAAACTCCAGAGGTTTTCTGCCTGGCATCCTTATTGCCAAGCAACAATGCAAGACGTCTACACAGCTGGTTTACCGAACTTTAATTCTCTGTTTAACTCAGAAGGACCAACTTGCAGTGCTTTAAAAACTGGATGCCAACAATGGGATTTTCTTGATTCCTGGCTGCATATTTCCCACTGTTTTCTAAATCCTTCCCAACACCACTCACCCATGACATAACTATTTTTTAATTTAATGATTTATTTCCTGATATTAGAATGTTTCTTCTCAGCTAAATAAAATGGCAAAGGGAAAAAAAGATATGAGCAAAATCGGGTCGTATCTTTGTGGTATAAAAATAGAGAAGTTTGGATGTGATGATTTCTGGATACCTTTGGTTTAGCTTAGCTATAATTGGTAGATGATTTTGAAAGCATAATTTGGAGATCAGAGAGTGCTGGGGAGGCAAAGGAATCTGAAGTTTTAGACTGCGTTTTTTTTTTTTTTTTTTTTTTTTTTTTTTTTTTTTTTGCTGTCTCAGCACATTACTGAGATTTGGTCCAGAGACTTTGGTGTTGTGGTAAATATTTTAGTTCTCATCTGGATCACAGAAATCATTTCCAGGCATTTAATTTTCGTGTCTTAAAAAAACAAAACTAGGGTTCCGTTTTGGTGTGTGGTGTGAACTGCAGGGAGAGTGTCAGGGCTGCTTGGCGTTGCAGCCTGGGCATCTGGCTGGAGAGATTAATCTCTTCAGGGCAGTGTTGCAGGCCAGACCTAGTGATGCAGATGCTGTGAGAGTTTGTGCTCTGGAAAACTCAGCGCCATCCTGGGCTCTAAGCTCCAGTTGCTTGCTTACACTTGATTAAAGCACCTCCAGGATAACCAGCAAAATGCTGGTAACCTTTGCTCTCTCTCGCCATCAGGAATTCTCCACCCTTGATGTGTGCAGCGCCACCTGGGTGCTGGTGAAAAGGCAGGTGGCCAGTCCTCAGCTCCCAAGGATTTTGGACCTGGGTGGGGCGAGGGAGCTGCCAGGTGATTGTGATGCACGTGAGACCACATATGGGCAAACATTGCTCTGTACTGCCCTCGGCGATTACATTTTTGTCATGAAGTTGGTTAATAGTAGACCTCATACTTAAATCATAAACCTGAGTTGGAAGTGATGTTGAACCTAACTTACGTGTGACCTGGTTTGGCATGCTCAACTGCCAACCCAGGGCTTTGAAACCAGTGTTCCCACCGATTTCATTTTCTTTCCTTCCTGCTTTTTCCATCTCCACCTTTCCATTCCTATGAGAGAGAAGGAGTTTGGCGAAGGTACCTGGATACCATGATACCTTGCTTTTACGTGTTTGCTGCACAGCCTGATTTGCACTGCATGGCTAAGCAGTGTTTGACTTGGAAACTTCAAAACCCAGAGCTGTTCTTAATTCCTTCTCCGCCTCCTGGGGGTGCCCCGTTCCTGGGGCTGGACTAGGCTGACTTGGGCAGAGGAGAGCCGGATTTCTTGGAAATGTTAAGAAGGAATCTTCTTCCTAGAAATCAGTTAAAACTGTACCCACCCCCAGGGACTGGAAGAAAAGGAAGTGATTCTTCCATCATGTGAAAGTCCTCATTTGGCAACACATGGAACCCAGAGCTCAGTGTCCATCTCCTTCCCCACGTTGGGTGGCATTTAGTATTTTCAGTAAGAAGAAAACAGGATGTGGTCGTGAGAGCCCATTCCTTTGTTCCCTCTCCTCTTCCTCTGGGGCTGGCTGCTGTCAGCCAGGCTCAGTGCTGGTGTCCAAGGATTCCGGAAGGATGAATGTGAACTCTGCACAGAGGCCTTGTCTTCGCGGCAGTTCTTGTTTGGGTGTTGCTGACCAATCTTGGATGAGCCCCTCATTTGCTCTAAACTTCACTTAGAGCCTAGAATAAAAAGAGATGAATTAAATGAGTTTCAGTCTCTTCCGGGGTCTGCCAATCTGACATTGGATATGGCTCAGTCTTGTAAATGCAGATAAGGGGATCTGGAAGCTTTTTAGCATTTGCTTTGAGGACAGAACTGAAGAGTGGGTTTTTCCTCACAGAATTTAAATTGTGCCTTTTTTAAAAATTGTGATTTTAGCTGATGTATAATATTTGTATATATTAGTGGAGTACATGATTGTAATTTGATACATGTATATAATTCGTAATGATCAAGTAAGGGTGATTAGCGTTCCCATCTCCACAAATATCATTTCTATGCATTGGGAACCTTTATGCTCTTCATCTCTAATTGTTATGAAATAATGATTGCAGACTGTAGTTCCTCTATTGTAATGTGTTACATTAGAACTACTCCTCTGGTCTCTTTTGGTACCCACTTTCTTGCTTCCACCTCACCTGCCCAGGCCTCTAGTGACCTCTTCTAGTTTCCTCTTCCATGTGGTCCACTTTGTTTTAGCTTTCACAATTGAGTAAGAACACCTAGTAGTTGTCCTTCTGTTCCTGGCTTATTTCACTTACCGTAATGTCCTCTAGGTCCAAACCTGTTGCCTTAAATGACAAGATTTCATCTTTTCAATTACAACTTACACATTTTCTTCCTCTTACAAAGAACCAAGAAGAAGGGTATATTGAGTTAGATGTCCGCTTTCTGAGCACTTAGCCGTTCTCCACACAGTAGGATGTGTCACTCTCCAGACAGGCTGTTTCCCTGGGCCAGCTCGGGTAAGAGCTTCTTGTCTCGTCTCAATCTGATGTCACTCCCCCTTTGGAGATCTGGGTGGTCTGAGCAGGACTTCACAGCTTGCAAGCTGACCCTTGCAGTCAAATAACTGGGCAGCTTCTGTGCCACTAGGTGAGAGGCTTAGAGACCTTTGGCCTAGAAAAACCAACACAACCTAAACCAAAACCAAACCATGCCAACACCGCAACTGATGACTTTGTGCGTTCTGTACTTTGCCTGTGAAGTAGCTTCTGTTACTATGGACTGGGGCAGCGTGTCCAAGGACTCTAAAAGTCGGCCATCAAGAAAAGAACTTATCACTGCTTTCTATGTGCTTTGTTGACAAATGCAGCCTCCAGCTGTCTGAAGATTCTATGCTTGGGTGTGAAACTATCAGAGTAAGGGAATCTCCCAAAATTAGGATATTTTAAACCCACGTTCTTTTCCTCTCATTGGTAAGTTTTTCCAGGAGAGGCTGAAATAGTTTTTGGTTTCCCCCTTTTCCCTGTCTATTCCTGAGGTTGATGATATTTGGGGGAACATGAGTGTTAGTAAATGATGCCCCAAATAATCCTTTTGTGCCTCATCCCAAGGCTGCTAAGATTGCGTGTCACATTTCACTCTCAAATTTATCCTTGAAGCTTCCTTATCTGGCTTCCTAAAGACCAGGGGAGTGGAGGCTGACTGGATCCAAATCCTTCTGTTGGGTGTTCTGCCTCCGTGGACCAGGGTCTGCACTCTGTCAAGTGTTATCAGCTGCTCAGTATATACAAATGCTCCCTGTGCTTGCTCTTAAAATAAGTGAGTCCCAACTTTATCTCATGAGGTCACACTCAATGCCATGTTGTCTTCATTCCAAGGCCCCATATTTTCTGCTAGCACAAAAAATTCTTCATTGTATAAATGATAAACCAAAATCTTTGTAAGGTCAGGAAAGTTTTCAGAAAGGATAGAACTCTCCAGATGAAGACTCATCTAAATGTTTCAAAATTGCTGGGCATTTTCATCAAAGCCCTGATTTATTTTTCCTATAAAATGATCTTGCTCCAAAGAAAGACAGCACAGCAGCACATCTGATTCTGTTTTATATGAAAATTCAACTTTATTAAAATTTGGTAGGATATTTATATTGCATCCAATAAACATTGGTGATTGTTTTGTAATCAGAAGGTAGTTTGGATACAACAGCCTGAAGTTAAATCAGAAAAGTGCAATAGAAAACAAGAATGGCTGTTAAATGCATTTCCCCTGGGTTCTAATCCTGGGGCTACATTGTTGTTTGGTTCTGTGATATGGGCAAAAGTAGTCAGTTCCCTGGAGAGTGAAATGAGGGTGTTGATCCTTAGTTCACTGGTGTTTGCTCGGTGCTTGACTTACAGCAAGTGATTGGTAAATATTCCTTCTTTGGGAAACATCTAATACAGGTGTGAAGGCTGGAAGGGAGCAAATATGTGGCAAGTTACTTAATTTATAGGTGAAAAGGACTGAGAAATAGGCAATACATTTTCTTCCAGTTGTCACTGAGTAGAGTGGATCTCCACCCTCAGTGCCCCTGACCTTAAACTCAGAAGCAGCTCAGGTATCCCTCAATTCTTTGTAAAGATTGGATTTGGATTGAAGCCTGAAACAGATCTGTGAGCTTACAAACCAACAGAGTAATTAGTATAGAAAGATCAAGGGCTCTGTGAAAGTCGTCTGTCTTCCTTTCTTCCTGGCCCTCCAGAATGGGCAAATTCTAGAGATGTTTCAGACACGTTTTTAAGTAGAGGAATCTTTTTTTCCCCCAAGAACTTACTTCATTATAATAAGGGCTACAGTGTAAGGGGAAAATGTTTGAGAACTTGAAATTCTGAGGTTGTCTCATGGTGAGCCAGTGAACTATCACCAAATGGAAGGACAGAGCTCTTCAAACACATGGGGTACACATGTACTCTCTCTTCTACCACTTCTCCCTCCACCCCTCCCTCCCTCCCTCCTCCCTTCCCTCACCAGCAGAGAGAGGCCTGCATTTGAATGGAAAATTTCTTTATTTTTTAAAAATATTTACTTATTTATTTTGAGAGGCAGAGTTACAGACAGGGGTCTTCCATCTGCTGGTTCACTCCCCAAATGGCCATAACAGCTGGAGCTGAGCCAATCTAAAGCCAGAAGCTAGGAGCTTCTTCTGGGTCTTCCACTCGGGTGCAAGGACCCAAGCACTTGGACCATCTTTCACTGCTTTCCCAGGCCATAGCAGAGAGCTGGATCAGAAGAGGAGTAGCC